TAAACCACAAGTTCTAGGTCACTAAAGTTCAACTGCCCTAAGGTAAAACTTCACTAATGGTTCTCAAAGTTTGTGCACATCATCATCTCCTTAAACCTAACAAATCTAACCTAATAATTCAGACTAAAATGACATAATTAAAGCTGTATGGATCAAGATACATACCTGCTATCTTGATGAAAACAGTTGTGGAATCGTGCCTCCCAAGTCTTGCAAAGCTTCAAGAAGGTTCCTTAGAAGGTATTGTTGCTTCTGTATGCAATGGAATCGTGTGAAACAGCTTGTAGTAATGGCTGCAATTCTGGTATGGATTCTTGCAATTTCAACTCTAACTCTTCAATCCTCCATGGATAGGTCCCTGAATCAGCTTGTATGTACTCAATAATGCCAATAGATTGTGAATGGAGAAGAAGAATGAACAGAACTGATGCTGATTGTGTGAATTCACTCTTGCTTGCAATTGAAGTAACAATGGAATCCTCTCTCTCCTCTCTCTCTTCTCACCAACCTTTTTCACCAATGATCCCAATCCAATATATAGGAGAGGATGGAAAGATCTAGAGGCTTCTAGCTCAATCTAAGATGCTTCTAGAAACTTCAAGAATTTCTCATGATATGGTACTTTGAAATCTCATGATATCTCACCTTAATCTCTTTGCAACCCCTTGAAAATCTCATTACATGACAATATGGAGGAGTATGAGTGAAAAACAAGGGATTCCTTTGCCTTATGTTGAGTTTCACATGAATACCTTATTATGCAAGTAATGGATTTACAAAGCAACTCCATTTTTAAAGCCCTATATCAAAATTGTGGCTGAACCAAAGTCTTTAAAATGTTGCTTAGACTCAATTTGGTATATTACATGACCCATTTTGGATTTGTAGATTGCCCAAACCAATTTTCCATTTGAACTTTTTCAAGTTATATGCCATTTTTAAGCCATTTTCACCACCTTTTGTCAATTCTTGTTCCATGCATTTCCAAACTTCCATGACCTATTTTCTAGACTTAAAATGCCATTTTGAGCAACTTTGATGTTGTGAAGTTTTTCATTTGAAGCTTCCTTGTAGGAGTTTTAGGCATAGGCTTGAAATGACCTGTAATTCTCAAATGACCAAAATACCCTTTGCTTGCCAAGGGCATAGGTAAAGTTCCACAAATCATATGAAGGCATACCCTACCTTCCTAGAAAGCTAAGACAATGAGGAACAACTCTCATGTTGACCAGAAATCCATTTGAAAACTCCTTGAAGGTCAAAAGTTGCTTGGAAGACAGGCAACTTTCACAGACAAATTTCAGTGTCCTCAGATGACCTGTAACTTGCAAGAGCTATAAATTGAGTTCTATAAATCATCTTGATGACTTCCACCACTCAAATTAAATCTATGAAGATACTCTACAAGTCTCATGTGGACCAAAAGTTCATATGAAGCTTGCATTTTGAATTACACTGCTTGGAAGTTTGACCTAAATCAGGGGATTTTACACTGAAACCCTAATTTGGTAACTCCTCTTCTCCTTGACTCCTGTTGATTTTTCTTTGGCACAACACCACATCCATATCCATGTATCAAATAATGAATCCCATATCCTTCAAATGAGCATTGATACCTTTCAAAACAAGTCTTTGACCTAGGGTTGACCTAGTGTTGACCCAGATAAAACCCTAGTTGACTGACTTCAACTGAGGCTCTTGCAATCATTCCAATGACCTGGCTCTTCTTCACAATGATCATCTAGACTTTCCACAACATCCATACACACTCCATGCTCTTGGCTCATAGCTCATACACCCTCTGATGATCCCCAAATAACCTCAAGATAGGGGAGAACCCAATGAGTGATCTGTCAACACTTCAAAACTAAAATTCTTCCCTGATGACCTGAGTAGTCTTGAATATGAATGAAACCCCTTGAATATGCCTCTTGAGACAAGAATGGTACTTGATCCCCTGATTAAGATTAGCTTGCTTATGCTATGCTATGCAGATGAATACACTATGTACATGATGCCAATGCAAATGACTATGCAATTGAAACATAAACCTAGGTTAAAAAAGGTTGGGCAAATTTTGGGGTGCAACAAATAACAATTCTCATAATCAATAAGATTAATTTACACGAATTTGGTATGCAATTCAGAATACGAAATTAACACAATAACATAGAAATCATGAAAAAGTTTTAATGAAAACTCATCTCAAGCTCCAAACGTCAACAATGGTGAAATTAGAAAAACTCCAAAGGAGGACGGTAAGGAATCCTACTTATCCTATTTGCCTAAGTACTCACACATGAATAGTTTCTCTCACTTACCTTAAATTTGAAGAATTCCTAAGCTTTTGGTTATGATGTTGCCTCCTAACTCTCTCTCTCTCTCTCCCGAACCTTTGCTCTAACTCTTGCCAAATTCATTTACTGATTCCCAAAACCTATTTTTCTCTCAATTTTTATATTTAAATAGAACAAATAAAACCTAATTATTTGTTTCTAATTTTACTCATGATGCCTCCACTTCTCATTAATTACCCCCACACTCCAAAACTCTACTAAACCTCTAATTTGTCCCCCGCACTCTATTTTATCAAATTAAATAATTAAATCAATTAAAATTAAATAAAAATCCCATTTTATTTCTAAATTGTGTGTTCTCTCATCTTAGGACATCTACCCCCCTTAACACATAAAATAAAATAATTCACCAACACATCACAAATTTAAGTAAAATGGCACAATTAATTAAATACAAAAAATGGGGTGCATTTCAAAAATGTTCATTTATCACCTGAATGATGATATGGGTGAAGAACTTGTGATACTTGTCTTTGGAAATTAAAAGAAAGAAAAACCCTTAAGTTGTAAAAGGCATAGACATGAAAAAATGAATATAGAGAGGAATCGTGAAGAGAGGCATGATTGATTGTTAATGATAATTTTTCAAAAAATCCAATATATACAAATGAGTAGTTTAGTTGAAGGTACCAATAAATAAACATATGCTCCTTTGTATTGTCAACGCTTTGGGTCATCATGATAAGTATTTTTCAAATGAGAATTGATGCAACTAGTAGATGAAGTCTTTCACTACTACAAAATTGCGTTGTGATTATTTGTATGTTGGCATATGGAACATCTATTAATAGTATGGATGACTATATGAGAATCAATGAAACCGCGACAAGAAGAAGAGGTGCATATGGTATGAATATAATAAAGATAGTAAGTAAGGGAGAAAATTACTTAATCATGAAAACATCATAAACACGCTCAACCCATTACTACCACCTTTTCCCCATCGCTTCCTAAACTCTATCAAAAATACTGATTCTCACAAAATAGATAACCTTATTGAGTATGCTTTTGTTCCAGAAGTTGCTCAAATTTCTGAAACAATACCCTCCATTTTAAGTCCTTATAATATCTTCAAAAGACAAAACACAATTACCAGATCCGTCAGAAACCTAATCTCTACAAACCGCCCTCATATGAAAGAGTATTTCCAGCCATTTCGACTAGACCAATGTAGTCTGAGAGCTACAAACCAAAAGTAATATGTAGATTTAGATATTCCTCAGAGTCTCATAAATCATCGAAAATATGAAGGATACACAACTTTACATTTTAGAGTTGTTAGGCTCATCCTCTCTCTTCATGGAAGGAAAAATCAACTTGTCTTCTGCAAGATAGCTCTTCTAGATTCTAGCTATCTCCATTATGAAAATGTTGTAAAAGGGGTTGTTCTAACCATACTCCATGTGGGAAGTGTTGTACTTACTATTTTTCCAAATTATAATGTAAGCCTTAACGATAGTATTTTATCCACGAGACTAAAAGTACAGGTCTAAATCATTGGATATGATTAAGTTCTAGAAGCTATGTATGCCACTATTCATGACCAAATAATATATCATCTACAAAATCATTCGGTAGATTTGCCTCTCTCAGGATGCTCTTCTGATTCATTGTTGGTCGTTGCTAACATAGAAGACGATATACCCTCTACTATTCAGATACCAAGAACGGTTACAAGGGAAGAATTAAATAAAATAATTCCCTTTAAATGGATGAAAAATTATGAAGAAAAAAAATCCATCTTGACAAAAGACCAATACAATCTCAAGAGGCTACCTTCAAAAGATACATGAACAAAATTGTCAAAACAATTTTCAAAAAGCCAGATGAAGGGTCAAATTCATTTTCTCTGATTTTCCAAACCATGATGATTAAACTAATACTTAAATAAGGTTGGTGTCCAGTCCATGATGTCATGATGGAAGGAAAACCCATCTATACTGACAAGATAGATGGCCATTTCATTTGGGACGTTGATCCTAAAAAATGCAACCCAAGATGTGACTGTTGAATGCACGATGATGATATTGATTAAGAAATTATCCTCCCCAAAATAAAAAACAAAGGGATGTAAAAACCATCTCCTCCTCCTCAGAGAAGATTTGATCCAGATAATGGTCCTTGGGTAGGAATTCATAGGAAAAAAAACCTCTCCCTATCTATGAGGGAGCCTTTAAAATCCTTAGTAAAGACAATTTGTTGCCACCTGACGACCCTACTCTTGTTACATGCTCACCTTCAAATTATTGTTATCCATTGGATCCTCCAAAAAAATATTGAGCCAATCCCTTGTTTTGTGTACTCAGCTACAACATCAGATTATAACCAACAATTTCATGCTCTAGAAAGGAAAGTGTACCGAATTACAAGCAGAACATCCAAACCCTTCATTAATCCTAATGAGCTTCATCCTGATGGAAAAATACACCTTTAACTCAAGTTGAAGAAGTTTTAAATTGGAAATTGGAAGATATGATTCCCCAAAATGATATTCTTTAGAATCTTGACAAAAAGGTGGATAAGATTGTTGAGAAAATATACGAAATAAATGATTATCTCAAGGCTTTGTCTCAAAAAAAAATGAAAAAGCATTACAGAAGCCTAAAACCTTAAGTCTCCCAGCTGGACCGTGATTTAGGAAAAATGTTAGAAGTAAGAACTTTTGGTAAGACTTTTGAACAAAAGGAAAGAGAAATCATAAATCTACAAGGTCAAGTAAAAGAGATATATGATTTCTTGAGAGCTTATCATGAAAGAAAACCCAAGCATGTTGAAAACTCTTTCTTTAAACCTCATACTTTCCCTACATATTTCACAACACCCGAAAAGTCTTCTCCTTTCTACCATACCTATATCTCATCTCTACCAGATTATGTCAAATATATACATGCGTCTTATAGATCAAAGTCTAAAAGAACCAATGCTACCTCAACCGCTAAAACAAAAGGGAAAGTTGTCTGTTTGAGAGCTTCATCCTCGGACTCTCGGGATGTTCCTGAAATACCTCCTTCAAAATTCCAAAAAGAAGAAGAAAATCTTGATAAAGGTTCCCAAGCCTTGGAAATCATAGGAAATTACGAATCCCCCCAAGAAAATCAACCTCATGTTGATTCCTCAACATAAAAGGGTGAAGATTCCTCCTCAGATGATAAAAACGATTCTTATCAAGATGCATCCGCTGATGAGACACTGAGATCCTTTTCATTAGAGTCACAGTATAAAGAGAATTATATTCCTAGACTCTTCATGGCAAATATAAAAGAGGAAGAATATTTTTATGAAGAACCACCTGAAGAGACTTTAGTCACTAAAAGGACAAAATTAAATAGTGGTCCATGGTTCATGCTTGATGATATCCCACCCTGTCATTGGAAAAAAAGACTCCTCGAATTTAGGGCTTAGATTGGCACTCATATGATGAAAACAAGTGCAGACAGTTATAAAGTCATTAAAGAATTTTGGTGTATAATGACATACACTATGAAATAATTCTATCATAACCTTGGAGCATTCAAACAAGATGAGCTGCAGAGACTGGAAAATACTGCTAGTATCCTTGAAGTTATTCACCATTAATTTATTGGTGATATGGAGATATTTGATAGAAAAAGAAAACAATTTTTTTTTTGAGATGAAGTGTTATTTCCTCACAACAAAAAAAACTTCACAAACATTATCATATAGCAACACAAAAGTATTATATCCTCAATGGATTTGATGACCCTAGTCTAAAAAATACACATGTCTCCTCTCTACCTCAAGAGCTTCAACCAGAACTTCATAATGTTAGCAACAACTCAAAAAGATATTAAAGCCATGATTCTCGACCAAATTCATCAAGTAACTTTAGAAGCACTTGAAAAGATATGCAAATTGCAATAATATTTCTCAGAAGTTGTAGAACAAAAGTATAAGTTCACTAAGGCATCCAAGAAGCCTTACCTGAAAATCAAATGTAAACTAATGTATAGTTGTGCGAGAAAAAAAAAAAGAAACATCATCAGCAAAAATACACCAAACATCATAGGATCTTAAAGGGAAAGAAAAATAAATCTATGAAGTTCCTTAAGAGAAAACCATCTAGAGGAAAAAGGAAAAATCAAAGTTGCTTTATTTATGGAAAAGGGGGCACTTTTCTAAGGAATATCCTAATAATACCAACAAAGTCGTAAAGATGGTTAACTCTCTTCAACCTCTAGGGGAAGATCTAGAGTCTTTGTATTCTGAGCAAAGCTTTGCTAATGAAGAAACAATTTTTCCCTTTAAAACTCTTTGTCTGACGAAGTATCCTTTTCAAAATTAGGAGATGACGAGCATTTCCCTGTTTACTCCTTCAAATAAATTAGGATTTCTCTTCCTACTCCTCATCTTTCTTGTGTTGAAATTCATGTCCTCACATCAAAATTTTCCCTCCCTAAGAAAGTTATAGCTTATATGGATATTGGTTCCTAGATAAAAATGATGAATCTAAACATCCTCCGGACCTAATCATGGGTGACACATGATGCATACTTTGTAGCAGTAGATGGAAAATATTTCAGGAAGGTGGGAATCAAATTTTTCCCAGACTGCATAATCTGGACAAAGGTCATTGATAGTAACTTTCCAAATAAAGATATTGTTATAGTAATGGATGTCTATTCAGCAACAAATAGGCTTCAAATTATCCCCACGGAAATCAAATTCAAAAGAGACTCAAACCCTATTCTAGAAAATTGAAACTACATTCCCTTTCTAAAGTTCCTGCTGGGTATGAAGAAATCAAGTCCAACTTACTCAAACTCTGTGCAGACAGCCATGAAAATTATTCCATCCAAAACCTCAATGGAAAAATAAAGATTTTTTTATCCAACTTCCTTTTAAGCTCAATTAATATGTTAATCCAACCAAGGTCACTCATCCATGAACGAGTCCATCATATTACACATTGGCTGGGGAAGAATGCAACCAGATGCTCATACAAGGTCTGATAAAACCCACTAAATATGAGTGGGCTTCCTAAGCTTTCTATGTGGAGAAGAAATCTGAAAAGATGAGATGGAAAAAGAGGCTAATAATTTATTACAAACCTCAAAATCATTTTCTAAGTGATGATAAATTTCCCATTCCAAAAGCCTTGTCCTTAAATATTTTAATCAAAGATGCTCTGATCTTCTCAAAGTTCGATATTAATTCAGGGCTTTAGCAAATAGGTGTTGATCCTAAAGACTGTTAAAAGACAATGTTCTGCATTCCTAACGCCCAGTACCAATGTACAGTGTTATCATTTGGGCTTAAATTATTCCCATCGCTATTTTAAAAGGTCATGACTAGAATTTTTTAGCCCATTTTCAATAGTACCGTCATCTATATTGATGATGTGCTATTATTCTCAAAAGAACAAAAAGCTCATAAACAGTTATTGGACCAATTCTTTCAAATAACTCAAAAGCATGGAATGATGCTCTCTAAAAGAAGAGCCAATTGAGCCAAACATAAATTGATTTTCTAGAAATGCATATCTCCCAAATGAAATATCAACCTCGACCTTATATTGCTCAAGAATTGTTAAACTTTCCTAATGAAAATCTCACCGTTTAGAAGATTTAGTAATTTCTTGGTATAATTAATTATATCAGAGATTACCTACCAAAGCTAGCCAGATATACGAGTCCCATGTCCCAATTACTCAAGAAAAAACCACCATCATGGGGAACAAAGCAAACCGAAGCAGTAAAGGCTTTGAAAAATATCGCACAAACTCCTCTTACCCTGAAAATCCCGGAGGATGGTAAGAGAATTTTACAAACTGATTCCAATAATAATTATTGGGTTGAAACCTTAATAGAAGAAATTGATGGGATAAAGTATTATTGCAGTCATGCTAGTGTTCAATTAAAATAAGCTGAAAAACATTATCACACGACTTATAAGGAAGCTCTTGAAGTTAAGTTAGGTATCCAAAAATTTGACTTCCACTTGAAAGGCTATCAGTTTGCAGTCCAGATAGATAATTCATCCTTTCCTAATATCCTTGAATTTAAAAATAAAATGCCTCTAATTCCTCAAACTCTTCGACTCAAAGATTGGCTTTCCAGATATGATTTTAGTGTAAAACAATCAAAGGAACTCAAAATGTCATCTTTGATTTGCTCTTCATACCTATGAAACCCATCCAGATCATTACTACCAAGCACATTTTTTCTATGATTCTTATGGTCAAACCTCTATGAGCTCATGCATCTACGACTAAGAATCTTCCTCCTGGGGTAGATTTATCCTCCCCACTATCCAAACTCAAAGAATATTCCAAATAAAATATTTTTTATTTCATGACAAAGATTATAAAAATGAAACTCCCAGATCATACCCCATTCTTCCCAGGCACACCTTTTCTTCTACCATTCATTAATAAAGCCAAACTTTAAATTTACAAAAAACAATTTATGGTAAATTTGGTGTGCAACCTATTTATATGTTATGCATATCCTTATTCCAACTGAAGCCATGTATAGCCATATAATGAATCCAAAGAACCATAATTCTTTAATCCAGACTACTCTTGAATGGCGTTTTCCATTGAAACGATGGAGAAATCAATTAAAACTAGTCGTAGACGAAGTCAAGAAAAGAAGGTTAGCGCTAGAAGCTGTTGTCAAACTCAAGACTGTTTTCTTCCTACATCGGCCATATCAGATGGATTCCATAACTAAACTTCTCGTTTGTAAGCATTATGTTGATCTATGGGAAACTATTGATGATTATTCTTCAAGTTTAAAAGTTAAAAAGGAATTAATGGATTATGTCAACTTCGTCAATCTCCATGATCAAGAAAAAATCAAAGTTGATACGACCTGCCTAAGTCATGAAAGGATTAGAATATAAGAAATTGGAGAAAGCTTGGGCGACGCTTTAGAAAAACCAAAATTTTCCAATGGAAGCTGAGCCATTGGAAGGACACATGGAAGAAACCATAAGGAAAATGTTTGATGACACTCGGCAGTATGACTCATCTCCTTATCCAGGTTACTTTTTTAGAAGAATACTTATCTGATCAAAATATGTCTCCAAGTCACGAGCCCTTCTTTAAAGACTGATTTGACAAGTTTCCATTCAGTATCACAAGTTTGTTTATGAATAGTTGACAAGTGTCCATTAAGTGTCGCAAGCGTGTTTTATGAATAGTTGTGTTTTATCTTCTTGTGTAAAAGTACTACAATAATGTATCATTATGGTCAAAAGTATGTTGGTCATTTGTAAAAAGCATTCAAATAATGCTTATGATGGTATGCTTGAAAATAATGTGTTTCCTGTTGTCGTACCTCGAAAAATACGATCCTCGCGATGGACGCGGAAAATACGTTCGAACAGAGTCGCCACCGAACTTTATTCATTCCACGGATGGAATAGGAAAATATCGATAAAACCTTTAAGGAGATAAGAACATGGTCATCGCAACCAATATTCTAGGTTCGGGAGTCGATTACATGAGGGGAAGGTATTAGCACCCTTCATGTCCGTTGTACTCAACGGGAACCTCTTGATTCGATTCGAGAGTAAAGTTAGCTAAATTATTTGTTTTCTTCTAAAGATTCTCCTATGGGGGGAATGGGTGGTTTTAAGATAGGGTGCTCGCCAAGGATTGGGGCCCTTGTGCCTACGTATCTTCACTTGTAAGAAGTGGAAAATCAGAGCATTCGTAGTTCGTGGGACTACAGGAAAAAAGGGGATTGTGCTCGCCAAGATCATCGCAATCTTGTGCCTACGTATTCTCATTGATAAATGAGAAATCAGAGCAGCCGTAGTTCGGCTAACTACGGTAAAAGGTTTGTGAACGAACGAGTGTTTATGTCGCATTCTAACTGCTAAACATTGGCTTGTCTGCTTGCTAGGGGAGGCTGAAGCACGAGTTTGTATGCGCGGAAGAAGGGGATAAACAATGTTCTTTGGTAAAAGGTATTTGGATTGGAAATCGCACGAGGGCGAGGAATTTAGTGTTTAAGAAGGATTCAATCGCACGAGAGCGAGAAAGGAATTGGAATGGTTGAATATTTTAAGGGAAAATGACAACTACTCGATAAACGAGACGTCAGTCTCGCAACCAATTAGTCGGGATATCGTTGGAATGCTAGATCCCAACAACACCTTTTTCATTCGAATAATTATGAAATTTTATTTGAATGGACAATGACGATATTTGTCCAAATAATTAGGGCATGTGTTTTATAGGCGAAAGGTCGGGTAATCCACAACCTAAAGCGTACGCCTCAAGAGTGGTTACTCAAGAATTCAAGGAATGCGAGACTCTAGGAACTCCATTCTTTCGTAATTTTAATTAAGAAAATAGTTTGGATTTGACGTATGGTTTAAAGACATACTAGGGTTTAGACTCGATCGCACAAAGGTGAGGAACGAGGTTAGAC